TTTCTCAGAAAGTGCCCTCTAAGAAAAGCTGTCAGTTTTCCCTCATCAGAAATAAAGCAAAGCTTAACACAGCTGCTTCAATGCAAACTTGGACACAGGTTTATCCGGTTAAAACACCATCCTACGTGTGCCTTCACTGTGGCTGGAGCCAGGCTAGCATAGCACCTAACTTCTAGGCAAGAGGCAGGAAAAAGGTCTTGGTGGAAATCATACACAGTAAACACTAACAACAGAGGCCATGGATTTGAAAGTCTCTGTAAGGCAGCATTTAAAAGCAAACAGAATATTCCTCACAACTGATCTGCTTTGCTTTAGAACACAGTTTCCACTCTCCAATCTGAACTGAAATATGATTATACTGATTCCCTGTATTTTTTTACACTTTGTTTTAAAAAATTCTCAGTTATAGGTGGACTTTTAAATCAACAATCTTTATTATTATTAAAGTTTGTAATTCCTCAGTGACTCCATGAAGACTTTGCATATGCAAATAACCAGGAGAGACAGGGGAGTTTGGGAAATAGAGCTCGCCAGAACTTGTTCATCTTAAAACCTAACGGACTTTGAGCACCAAACTTGCTCTGTTCCACCAAGCAGCACAAAAAATTCATTTATAAACACAGAAGTGTACTTTCCTGAGCACTGTGGGGCAGGTTTTCTGGACATGATTTTTAAAGTATATTTTATCTCCTCTCTTCCTCCTTTGAAGCTTTTCAAATTATCAGGGAGTCATATCTCTATTTTGGCAACAAAATGACCAGTTGTGGTCCTGAAAGTCTCCTGTCATGGAAAACTCTAACCTCATCCAAGTAAACCAGGATAGACCAGGTGGCCACCCTGAGCTGGCAGACGAAGGATTTCGAGTTTCCTTCTTCACACATGGTTTCTCCAGTGGTCACCTAAGAGGGTTTGGTGCTTTGGGTTCTGCTCTCACTGACTGTCATGGCCTGTGAGCTTTCACATGGGGCTTCGATCCCATTTTACTTGGGGAAGGACTATCAGGAAGGATTACTAGCCACGCCCCATGCAGACAGGAGTCTGGTGCTTACTTTCTGCTCCTCCAGGAAGAGGAAGCCTTAGGCCACCGCTGCTGCCGGGAAGGCAGGCTGTGCACTGCCCTTTCCGAGCTCCAGGATCACCTGGTCTTGGAAGTTGCTCAGAGACCAGGATTCCTTTTCAGCTTGTTCATGCATAGTTCTTGGGGAACTTTAAAAATTATACATTCTTTTACTTCCTGAGTATTTTGTATTGAATGAATGGTGAAACTCAGAAAAAAATGAAACTGTAATGTGTTCATACAAATTAGCTCCATATTCTGATATCTGACCATAGTATGCATGTGTGTGTCTAAATGTGAGTGAGAGAGTCAGAGACAGAGATAAGACAGACAGCGCCTGAAAGCAGGAGGCGATTGGGAGCAGGAGGAGATGATTTCCCCATAATACAAGATGTGATAGTCATAGAAAGTATAAATGAGTATTTCCAAGTCAAGTATGGACTTACTAGTCTTGTCATTACAGACTAAATTACTGGAGAGAAGGCAACTGTAGCCTTCAAGGTACAAAATTCTCAGTTCCATCAAAGGCATCCTGGGGCTGAAGATTTCCCTACTCTTATGATAGGAGCTCAACTGATACTTTAATCAAGAGACAGTTGCCTTTTTAGGTTTTCCAAAAGTAAATCCAAGAATGCCAATATGCACCTTCTGCCTCTTACACACTCAGCTAGAAGCCTTATCTACCTGATGCGAAGACTTTATAAAACTTGTTATTTTTGTATAACTTAAGCCCTGAACAACAACAACAACAAAATACTGCTCAGAATTCAACAAATAAATCTCTCTCTTAAGAATTTACAACCTGGCTATGGACTCTGTAGAGATTTCAAATAAAACACTTGGTCATAAGCCAGAATTTTTTAAACACATTTTAAAAAAGAAACCTGCAAAAGAGGAAATGGGACTGTAGATGCTTTTCAAGCTTTCTGATAGGCATTGTGAGAGAGGCTTTATCCATCCATCATCAGATCATTTTCAATTAATCTGACTCAGGTCTGTGATTATAGGAAATAATGACAGCAGGTTGACACCCTTGGAAATGTGCTGCCTGATCTGGCACCATAAACTCAAACAGTCCTGCTTCCTAGAGACTGACCTCATGGATCGAGTCTCTTATCAGATGCTACCACCAAAACAAAAGCATGTGGGCCTTCTTCCTGCTACCTGCCTTACTCAGACATGTTGGAGCATGTGCCCTCAAGACTCTGGCTCCATGCACAGCTGTGCAGCCAAAGGCAGGCAGCAGTAAACACAGCTGGAGGCATCACTTTCACAAGCTCACCAGCTGCTAAGTGAACCTAACCTACCAGATTCCAGAGATGAAAGCTTGAGCCCTGGGTCTGAGCACATTTCAAGATCCAGCACCTCCCAGGTATTCTGAGACATAAGGACCATGCCATGCTAGAGCAGGAAGAAACACATCTTGTGACCAGGGAACCAGCCCCACCTTCATCCCCAGCACATTCTGCTAAGCATCATCCCAGGCAACTCCCACTGCATTTGATTGCCAGCCTGTCCCACATGCAAAAATCCTGTCACTCAAGAGACTGCTACCTGTGGTCAGGATTCGCCTTTTCCTGTAGTCCTTGGATGGTGCCCCATGGTCACCTTTTCCTTCAGTTGCTTTAGTCTTTATATGCTATTCCTTGTTCCCAAGTTCCAGGACTGCTTGGAACTGAGTTGTCTCAGGAGAATTTACTGGTTTCTCTGGGAGGGTATATGCAAGCATATCAACCTTAAAGCATATAAAAGGAGCGTTTTTTAAATGGTGATGTAAATTGTATGAGCTTTGCTTTGGCAAAGACACCAGATGGACGCCTTTATGATAAAGAGGGTCTTTTCCAATCTTTTCTTCCGTATGGGTCTCCGAAAGGTGTTTCCTCTAAGACATCTCTGTTTTCTGTAACATCAGAATGAAGAAAGATGCTGTCTCTGCCAGATTTTATACATACATCATGCTTTTATTATAATAGAAAAATACATAGTGATTTATTTGCTGAGTCAAGTTAAAGTGTGCTTGAGAGATCATCTTCCATTTGCCAAAAGGGCGTTTACTTACTGGACCAAGGACTCTTCATTTATCATGAAGTAAGATGGGTGGAGAAAGAAGGGAAGTGGGAGAAAACTAACAACAACAATAAAAAAAAAAAACAGAAAAATTCACCAGAAGGAAGTGGTAGCCATCACTATACATTTGAGTACTAAGAGCAGAAAAAAAAAAGCCCTCTCCATGAAGGTAAGATAGAAATTTCCAAATTGTCCTCAAAGTGTTAAGAAAGATGGTCACCATCAGCTTGGGTACATTACATAGACATTTGTTTTGGGAAACCTAAAGGTCCAAAAACAACTCACAGAGAGATCACAGTGCTCTGTGCATGGGTAACACAGCTAGTTCTTTAAATCCTGATCAAAATTAAAGCTAGACTCAGAACTTGAATATGTTTTTTGGTGAAACTCTTTAGCACACTTGGTATAAGGCCATGGCTATAGTCCTGTCTAGTACAGTTGCGAGGGTCTGGGAGGTTCTTAGAACCCACTGTTTTGGACACGTAAACCACCAAAAAAGTCATTATTTTTGGATGAACAAGGTAATCCATTTCACTCAAGCTGAACCTGAGGCTTGTGTTATATCTTCTGGCTAGTTAAATGTTCAAGACTCAGGAAATTCACTAAATTTATAGCTAGGTCTTAGTGCAATTGGAGATAAAGGATTTTGCTTAAGGTCTTGGCCTCTCTCCTTAGTAATTACCCTCTGCTTTTCCAAGCCTTTATCCAGTGACCCACTCCCAAGTCAAGATTTTCTGCTTATGTCATCTACCTACCCTAGTACTTTAAGTCTGATACTTCAAATTTCAGTAAGTTCTTTTATCTAAAAAATTATGACTTAGAATTGTAACTCCTTTCTAATTTGCATAAGTCATAATTTTTTGGATAAAAGAACTTACTGAATCCTAAGTCATAATTTTTTGGATAAAAGAACTTACTGAAATTTGAAGTATCAGACTTAAAGTATTAGAGTTGGTACTTCTAGTTGAGGAGAGAAAAACTTGCTTTCATTAAATTAATGCCTGGGTCATTGAGCAGGATTTGAATAATGAGTCATTTTTTTCACAAACTCTTAACCCTTCAAAACAGACAACAGTAGATTGTGTTTCTCCTAACAGGTCTACCCAAATTCACCTGTTTACCTGCATGAAATACATGTGGGGTGGGAAATAACCTGTTCTGAGGTTATTTTTGCAGCCAAACATTAGATTCTCCTAACTAACTGGATTATTTCTTGCCCCGAACTTTATGTGATTCCAGAAAGTTTTCTCTGCTCTAACAAGCTGTCCTTTGGATTTGAGTGGAGCTATAATGTAGGGAGAGGGGGTTTGGACAAGATTGGGTGAGGGTCAGAGCAGAGATTAGGAAAATGGGGACCCTTGGTGAAAGCTGCAAAGACCGCAAAGTGCGTTTAATAAATCAGAAGATTTCAGTGGAGACCCATAAGGAAAAAATATGGAAAGAAGAATGGAGAAAACCAGGGTAAGGAAGAAGACACCACCTATGATTTGATCTCTCATCACCTTTTAAATTCTAGACTGGGGTGCCCAAAACACTACTCATGATGCTGCCAAGCAATAGTCACACTGCAATAGTAGGTAAATGAAAAGCAGAAATAAGAACCTTTGAAACATGTAAACCAAAGGTACCAAGAGAGCCTGCCCCAACCACTCAGCGTGTCTTCAGCTGTGGCGTAGTCTGAGTCATCAACTCCTTGAGCCCTTGTTCTGAAGTCTCTCTCCTTACATTGCAGTCATTCTCTCCTTACATTGTTCTCTGCTTTGGGCTCAAGGACCTATCACATTTTACATCTTAGCTTTGTTACACAGGAACCCTGGATACTCTCGCACTGATACCATTCTCCCTATATTTAGAACGTTTCTGGGTGACAAGGAACAAGATCATGACCAGCTTGATAGCAGCGGCATGTTTCATTGGTGCAAAACAACTCCTTTGGACAAGGTGATTTTGGTAGGTGAGTTTGTATCATACCTAAGTAAAATAAAGTATCACTCGAGGCACAGGATGTTCTTCTGCTAATCACAAGCACCTGTCATTTCTCTTCATAAACAGAATTTGGAAGGAAAAACACATACCTCACCAGCCACATAAATGGCAAGCAGTGCAACCCATATGACATTTGACAAAGACTTTGTAGATGATGTGATGAGATTTAAAACCCTTAGATGTCCTCAACAACACTTGAAAAGTGTAGTTGACTTAGTTATTTATAATAATAATGTTCTCATGAAACAAGTTTTGCTACTAAATCTAATTAAATGTAGCAGGGGGAGGATTTATAAACCCTCTGCAGGTGTTCTTTTATTTTAAAATGTAAAAGCACTTCAGCTGGCTAGGGTGACATATGCTTGTTAGTTGAGCAGTCTGAGAGGTGTCTCAAGCCCAGAGCCCAACCTGGGTTAAAAATGCAACTATGGAAAAACATGTCTCAAAAAAAAACAAGGAAACAAAAAATTGAAAAGGGACTGGGGATATAGTTCAGTGCAAACCACAAGCATACAAACATTTCTCTAATTTACTGGTTTTAAATTTTTGACTTCTTATAATAATATGAATTTTATGGCTGGCTGTATTTATATTTAATACATAAGCCCCAAGTGTGTCTCTTAAATATGTCCCACTTCACCCCCAAAGAACTTGGGTGAAGTCTTGTAGATATAATAGGTTCTGTCCCAACCCCTCTGCTCCAGGAGTCAGACCAGCTCAGCTCATGCAAATGTAAGCAATGAGGATATTAAAAAGTCCTGTTGGTGCTAACATCTGTTTTCTGAATCCCCATCTATTGTCATTCTGCAAAGTTAAAACTCAAGTATAATTTCAATGGTTTTCCTTACAAGTTGGTTATATTAACTAACAAAGATGATTACTTATATCCTGCAGAACCCTATAAAATTTTCTCATCTATAGTTAATTGATAACTATAAATATTTTCTTGCTTTTCAAAAGTAATTTAGTTCATTTCTTCTTTTTGGTGCACCCTCACATACACACTCACACACACACACACACACACACACACACACACACACGACCACAATCCTTGTGGCTCAGTGCCAGTGTCCTGACAGAATATGCTCCAATTTTTGTAAGACCTTTATCAATCATTTGATCAGAAGCATAAAATTGTCAGAGCTGTCATAGCAACTGGAAGACTGTTAGGGTTCCTGAAACTTAACATTTTGGCAATTACGTCTTATTCTAAGCAACACAAAATTAACATCCGTTAAACAGGATGCCAAACATGTTTTCCATGGAAAGGAAATCTTCAGAAAGGTTGAGAAGTAGGGTGCAGACTGAGGCATCCAAGACTCAAAGAAAAGCAAGTAGCAAGCATTTCATTAGGCTGTGTTGAGTAGCCAAGTTAAATACAAGCTCTAACAAGCAGGCCTGCTTTTTAGCACTCGGACAAGTCGTCACAATAGCTACTTTCCTTAGATGCGCAGTGTGGAGCACAGCTCAGAACTGAATCTTTCATTTCACTTCCAAGACCTATTTTAGAAATATGCTAAGGGTTTTGAAATTTGGGTCTCTAAGAGGTAAATATACAGACTGCAAACTTCAAAGAGGCTTTGACCTTGGTTCTGTCTGCGGAGGGGACAAGTGGAAGTATTCCATTGAAGTTCCTTTGGAAAAATAGCGCATCCTCCTCTCCCCCTGTCATCGTCTTTCTTAATTAGGAGACAGTTCCATGCCACAATTTGTTGAAGAAATTGGCTCTCTAGCTTGCCTATAAACGTGCTCTGCCATGTATCTTGCTTCTAATCGTTTTGTACTGCTCAGAAGAGAAATTGTTGGACTTCAGGCACGTTACATTAAATACCGTTAGAGGCTTCATTATTCAACTTAAAACTAATCAGGTTAACTAGAGACAATTATTTAATAGATTTGGTTAAGATTCATATCACTCTCCAGGAAAGCTCTCCAGACAAGCAGAGAGCTTTATTTCCCCTCTCGAGGAGATCCCCTTAGAAACATAGTACTTCCCAATATCTTCTAATGTGATCAAGTCTAATTGTTGATCTGTGGGATTTTATTCATTTATCCCATTAGATTTGGTCATGCCTGCTTTTTAGAGTTTGCTATTTAACTTGGCTAAGAATTGGCATAAAGAAGAATGATCTATCCATTAGAAAGATTCTCACATGCCTGAAATGCTTCAAGATGGCCATAGCAAAATTTAAATATAGTTAGCTTGTTCTCTACCAGCTTTCCAGTGTCCTGGTAAGATGCAAATTTGTTCAGTGACTGAATAGTTGTTAATGTCAAGCACTATGATTTCAATGTGTTATTTAATTTCCACAACAAAATTAACCCATTTTACTTGTTAACCATTTTAAACGTAAAGAAATTAAGGATCAGAGAAGTTAAAATGATTTGTTTGCTCTTGTGGTTAAGGACAGAGTCAGACTACAAAAGCAAATCTTCTGGTTCTGTGCGGATTGCTCTGTACAACCAAACTCCCTGGAGGAGATGCTTCTCAGGCCCTGAAAGAAGCCAGAAATACCAGCTTTTCACTTACATTTATTACCTGTATCAGTCTCCATGAATGTGGGAGAGTTCAAGTCTAAGTACATGTCTTATGTACTATTTTGTTTTCAACTCTGAATTATCCAAGTAATGGTAAAATCAGCATTGCTACTGATAGACATATTCAAATGCTTGAGACCAAATGGAATTTTCAAAACTTTCCATATCTTTTGTGACTTTCATTGCAAATTTCTTTGACTCAGGTTATTGAATCACTTCAGTGTGTTATGTTGAACCAGGTGAAATTACTAATATTTAACTATTCTCAAGCCACAAAAAGACAAATTTGCCTGTTTAAAACAACTGTATTTAAAAAAACAGTGAATACAACAACATGTTGCAGAACTTAACATAATTTTCAGAGCTCTCTTAAAGACATAGCTTAGGAGAGGAATTTGGAATGTCTCAGGTTTTCACTTAATCATGCAATAGCACACACAACGCTGAAAGCATCTAATGAAAAGGAGAAAATATTTCCGCATATGCTGCAATGATTTTACATCCTGAGTCATGATGGTGATCTGAGTTTCAGTTGATTCACTCCAGGCAAGTAGAAAGTTTTCCAAAGTAGTAAAATAAGAAAGCCTTCCACAAAAAAAGAAAAACGTTACAATTGTACTACCTCTGTGTAAGTTTCATAATAACAAGCAAAGTGAAAACTTCTGTTAACCTCATGAAAAACAACTGTGCACAAATACTAGGCCAACTGCGAGGACTCCTCTCTGAGGGGCTCTCTTTCATCGCCACTGTAAGTCACCCACTCCGCCCCATGCTTATCCTCAGAAACGAAGCGACAAGCTGAAGCACAAGTTTCAAAACCACGTTGTAGCTTGCGTATTTGGAGATGCCCACTCGGCCCTGATAGGGCTTCGGAACTTTGTGATGCCCCTGCGAGCCAGCAACTACACTGTGAAGGAGCTGAAGGACATCGTGTTCATTGGGTCCCTGGATTACCTGCAGAAAGAGTGGCGGTTTCTCCGGAATTTTCCCAGGATATATATTATGCCTGTAAGTATCACATAAAGAATAGTGAATATCTGTAATGATAGTATTATCAGTAGAATCAACATTAATAATTTTGGTAATAATCTGCAATCATGTACTGCATACTAGGTGTCAGAAACTGTGCTAAATATCTTGCCTATATCAATTCATTTCTTCCTCAGAATGATACTAGGGGATAACTATTAAAAATCTAGGACTTTAAGCCAAGAAAGAATAAGTAACTTGCCAAAGATTGCACAGCAAGTAAGGTGAAAATAAGATTTAAGCCCAAATATTGTGGCTACTGAGTTTGTGCTCAACTGCCCTGAGCACAAACTCTTTATCATCTTTTTGCAAATCTGCTTTTTAGTTTCCCTTTTTCTGAGATTGATTTATAATTTAGCTTAAACTAATACTAATTAGTCTATGTGGTCTTTATCATCTTTTCTGCAGGCTTCTTATATGGAATGTGTAGTACCACCTGGTCCCTTTTAAGTGTATGAATAGGGGAATTAGGTTCCCACTTTTGAGAAATGTTATCTTTTGTAGTTTGAATGTGTCTTTGGAAAGTTGGGTTGGAATCTGACTGCCATAGTAACCATGTTCAGTGAAAAGGTGATTGGTCATGAGGGTCCTGCTGCTTTGGGGAAAATGCCATCATGACGACCTTGGTTTGGTTGCGGTAGTCATGACGACCTTGGTTTGGTTGTGGTAGGGGTGGGTTCCTGATAAGAGGTGAAATCTGGCCCCCTCCTCTCAGCCATGTGTACCCTCCTGCCATGCGATTCCCTTTGTGGTATGGTGAGGCAGCCCGAGGGCCCTCGTCAGATGCAATCATTCTTGGCCTCCAGAACTATGAGAAATAAATTTTTCTTTATAATTTACCAGTCTGTGGTATCCTGTTCTGGCTGCAGAAATATGGACAAAGACAGGATCCATTATGCATATGAGGTATTACAGTTACAATTGTATTTGCATCTAATGCTCATAGTTTTTATCTCGCTCTATGCCACCATTTCCCAGGATGCAAAGCCCATTATGTGCACTGTGAAATGCACCAGGGCATTTGAATTTCTATGAAATAATGCTGACAATATGGAAGGAATATTTTTTAAACTTCCAAAATGATTCTCAAGAAGCAAATTGCATTTGCTTTTCTGAAAAAACCACCATGAAGCTCTAACTCTCATCCTCGTTGCTTCAGCCATGACATCAAATTCTACCACCTGAAAAGTCCATTCTCCACCCTGTTTTGTCTCACTAGGGCTCAGCACTGTATTCTGGAGATCTGCATGCAGTCAACATAGAGGACTGCTCCATGTGTGTCATCCTCGCCCCGTCACCTAAAGCAGTGAACAACCAGGCTCTGGTTGACAAAGAGACCATCATGGCCACTCTCAACATCGGGTCCCTGAGAATCAGCTCCACTCACCCCAGGCCTTGGATGCCAGGTCAGAGAAAAGAAGCTGGGCAGGATGGGATGAGGACCAAGAATAATCTCTTCCCAGAGGAGGAGGAGAGGTTGACCAGATGTCCCCTACAAAGCCTCCCAACTCTGACTGTGCTACAATAGGAGTGACTTTCAGTTACTTCCTCTGAAATTCTAACCCTAAAGGAAAACTGCTATTTAAATGAAATGTATATGATACTATTTTCCCATTTTAAGGGGAAAAAGTCATAAGACAGTAAAAGCTAATATTTTTAGTCATTAATCTAATGTCAAAGAACATAGCAATTGGTATTTTACCATAATTAGTAAGTTGTTATCCTTAATCAGTTTTCATTGTTTTTTTAAAGATGTTAAAGCTACAAGTTCTAGTTTCATAGTTGAGAGGTTAAACTGTAATTTGTTGATTTTTCAAGGTCTTTTTAATATATAAAGTTGAGGAGCTTATCTCTAAAATTGTTTCAAACTTCATGGACTAAAAATAGTTTATTTCAGCTTCAAATTGGGAAGGGAACAGGAGGGAGAAGTTGGGGGGATCTCTTCAGATGGAGATCCTGTCTTTTTTGGCCTCTGAATTCCGCTCAGAACCTGGTAGAACTGTGGTCTCTTAGTAAATGCTTAACAAGCACCTGTTGAAAGACATGAGCCAATGAGCTGGACTCTGCAGGTGCTACTGCCTATTTCTTTGCACCCACGAAGTGTATGAGGTTAATCCCAGGAAGAGTTTTTCCTTCTCCCCACCAAAGGCTTGTAACGCGACATCCACTCAACTAAATAGAAAAGGCCTACGTTTTGTAACTAAAACAAATTTTCCATTCAAGACATAGAGTAGGCCATGCTTGGAATCCATCTGGCCTAGGACTTTCTGCTGGGAATGATTTACTCACTATCTACAGGTCAAGGGCGATGTCCTCGAGCCACAGAGCTGGTGACCAAAGCTGGTCCACCTCGCAAAGCACTTGGAGAGGTGAGAAGACAAATGTATTACAAGATTCTGTGGGATTAGGCTGTGGACAGCAATAACCACAAGTCAATTTGCAAAACCTAGAAAACTCTCTCTGTTCCTAAGCACTGTTGCTAGATTAATTCAAGGTTTTGGGAAGAAAAGAGTACTCTAATCTCTTTTCTTCCAAGTTCTCAGCATACCCTTCCTATACAAGGAAACCTAACCCAGAATTCAGGGCATCAGGATGTTTCGAAGAGCAGAACTAATAACAGAACACCTCAGGAAAGACAAAGTGCCCTGAAAAGCTAAACTAAAGAGGTGGGAGCTCTTTCTCTCCTGAGCAGACCTGCAGAAGTACTGCTATGTTCTGCTACCTATATTCTTAGCTGAGCAGTGAGGGTCACATGATTGTGTGTGTGTGCATGCGCGTGCGTGTTTACATGAGTGTATGCACATTCTTGCAACACTGTGCTTAGATACAGAAGAAACAGAAAAATGTGTATACAATGTAGGCCTGGGGTGAACTGACAACACCAAAAGCCTTCTTATATATTTTTTAATCTCTCACCTTCTATTTGGCTAAAAACACAGAAACTTAAGATTCTAATTCTAGTTCCCTTATATATAGGAATTTTTGTCCTTTGTTTATCAATGAGATTATGTTTATTTGATGGGATGTTTCAGGCCCTGTGTGATAGGCTAGAAGGCTACCTGTAAGGGAAACAGCTGACTGATTCGGTAGAAAGAGAGAGAGGAGAGAGGGGAGAAGATTGGAAAGGTGAAAGACCAAAGACAGGTATGCCAAATTAGTTGAATCATCATGACATGTAAGTGGACACTTTCCCCAAAGATAAAAAGAGAAACATAGGAAAGAGCATATCATCGTTCCTTTCCTGGGATGGGTCATGTTATCAATACATTGGAGAAATGTTGGTCCACACAGGCTCAAAGGACCCACTCAACAGAGGTCATCAAGCTGGTTCATCTAGTAGGAAATGTCCATTGAAGCCACACTTTGAGAACAGCTTGAAGAGACTTGTGAATATTCACTCAGAATCTGCATTGACTATTCTGTCACCACGGGGATGAACCTAGAGTTTGTTTTTAGAAATTCTTAATCCTAGGAGAAGCCTGTTTGACTCTCTCAATCATTTTTCTCATGTCACATTAATACACTCCTTGCACCATTACTAAGGGGCAGAAAGTTTCACTTCTAAAAACTGAGAGTATAAAGGATAGTGTGATTCTCTCAGGAGAAAAAAAATACCTTCTACACTGAGCACCAAGATAGAGCTGGATCAGTGGTCCTCAGCACGAGGTAGTTTTGTGCTCTGAGGTCAAAGCATCTGGAGATGGCTTCAGTCTATTCCAGCTGGGGGAACAATGCAAGCTTCTACCTGATCAAGGCCAGAAACACTGCTAAACGTTTTCCACTGCATGAGACGACCCTACAGATAAAGAAAGCCCAGTAGAACCGAGATGGAGACACCTGGTACCTACATAGATGGCGAACCTTTTGTGGCATCATTGGGCTTTTCTACAACTTCACATCATGCTGAACCACGACATCACATACTGAAGCCAAATCAGGACAACGAACTGTTCACATAGAATGTCACCAAGGAAAGTTAGGGCGGGGGCAGCAGAGCGAGGACACTCCAGGGATCCCTAAGGACACCAAGCCTCTGCTGGACATCTCTGTGGAAATGCAAAGGTTTCTCAGTAATGTTTTAATTACTGCCCTGCCACATCACAAGGAGAGCAGGTTGGCAAACGTAGGTACTGAACTAAATAATCTGTGGCATAATCTCAACATATAACAGTAATTAAGTCTGACAACTTAATATGCTACTGAAATTTAAATGTACAGTAGTAATCTACAATTAAGCAATCTTTTGTAATAGCACCCTGCCAGCCTGGAAGATTTCAGGTGTAATACTGTGTACTATTAGGTAGCAAAAATATTGACGAGTAAAATATACGCAGGCTATGATCTGACACTTATTCAAATTAACCACTGTTCTGCAAGGAAAAAAGTGGCACTGAGGCAGAGACTCCGTCACTGTCCTCTGAGTTCACCCAGGGGACAGATGCTAAGACAGCCACTCAGCCCAGGTGCTCGTAAGGGAAATGAGAACCCTGGCTGTGAACGTGGAGGGTATTTCAAGTTCTTTCTCAGCTGGGAACTGGAATCAGAATGCAGGATTCAGAGATTTCCCCACAGAGTATTTCTCCTTTGAGGGAAACTGATCTCAATATTTTATGGAAAATATCAGCCTCATTTGGCATGCTTCTAACACACAGGCAAGATGCATACCCGGAAAAGGGCACAGGCTTTGAAGCAAATCCCACCCATCACTGACAAGCATGTGACCCTGTCCCCCCATCTTCCAGGGTGATCTGACAATACTCAATTCCGAGCTGATGTGGCAGTCCTGGAATTCTTATATCCTAACAGTGTCTATGGCTTACAGCCCTCAGAGGGCTCGTTTACTAATATTTATCACATAATCTCCATTCCCTACTGGGAACTCTGTAATGTTGACCCATGCCAATTACAGGAAGCTCACAGAGGATCCTGCAAGCTGGCAGAAGGTTTGAATTGTCTCCTAATTTATCCTGTTCCTGTTGCTTCTTTTCTACCTTAAGTCCCTCGCTTGTTCTCTCGGCCTGAGGAAGTCTCTCATGCCCCAGGACTCAAGGTCTCTATCCAAGATGTCTCCCTTTGAGCTCTGTGTTACATTTGTGATATGTAACTTGGGTAGTGACTGTCACAGTCCTAGAGTGGAGTAGATTTCTTAAATGTTTCTGGGAGGAAGGAAGAGAGGGAAGCAAGAAAGAAAAAAGGGAAGAGAGAAAGAACGAAAGGGCAGAGAAAGGTGTTACACATTCTAGGAATGAAGTACAATCTCCATATAAGTATATATTTATATAAAGAATTCAGATCCAAGTAAGAGTAAGCTTTGCCTCTGGCCATTGATACACAAACTTTTCTTTCTCTGAAATACCTAAAGCTAAGTGATTTGGGGGAGATTGCTGAGGTCACCACTGGTTCTAGCTATAGCCACATGTGCTAGGCTCTTCATGTGGAGCTTCTGTTTTTAATCTTCAAGCCATAGCCCTGAATTTTAGTCAAAGTCAGGAATGCATTCAGCTCTGCTAAATTAATAAGAAAAGGCTCTTCCTCTGCACACTTCTTGGGGGAGTGGAGGGACTTTTAAACAGCATAGTACCTGCTATAGTAGCATTGCATATGGAAAACAGTGTCCCTTTGGATTTCCAGCTCCCCCGTCAGTACCGCACCTGCACCACTTGGTCTGTCCCCTGGTGGCCTCAGGACACTGCTCATCTCCATCCATTCCTTTCCAACCAGCCCTCCTCTCCTCTACAGAGGGCACAAAGGACATTTTCAGTTTTCACCCTTTCCAAGTGCCACGAACCCCAATCAAAGTAGACTTGGAACTTTCACAGTATTTTTTCTGTTGTGCAGCATCATCAGAAAAGTTTAAGAAAGGCGACTTAGAGCCTCAAGGCACCGCTGCAGTGATAACAGTGTGTGTGCTTTTAAAGCACCCTAGTTTCCTACTCCTTTCTTTCTCTTTCTTCACATTTTTAGTTTTGGTGATTCAACCTCTGTGTCATTTGTTTTTTTATTTTAAAACCCTCCTGAGGACATGGTGTTTGAGGGTAGGGCCTCACAGCTGGTTCTTCCTGCAGGCTCTGCCCACAGGAATGACCCAAGACCTGTCTCCTGAGGCAGGAGGGTAGCGCTCTCAGCACAAAGCCCAGAGGTCAGCCCTACATGGCTCTCCTCTCTGTGTGCAGAGGCCCAGGGCTCTGCACAGAGCCAGGCTAGCTGGAGGGGGAGAGGGCCCCAGGTTGGTGGGAGGAGGGGGACACTGCAGGGTCTTCTGGAATGGGGGATCTGGAAAGGGAGGGCAGTACCAGGAGCCCGTGGTGCTCTTTAGGGGCATTCCTAGCACAAAGCCACCAAGGTTCTGACCACTTCCTGAAAACTGGTGGGAGACGCTGCCTGGCCAGGCCATTGCCCGAGCCATCACACCGCACTCCATGGAGGGCAAAATGATGCCAGAAGCACCTGCTGGAGAGATCTGGGCCTTTGTGTATTTCGCCCAAAGGGCAGTTTTGAAAACTCACCCAGAGACACATGTAGACACACACGCATACCACACAGTGCACAAACACATACATACAATTCAGTGCCAAACATACACACGTATGCATACATACATATATATGTACAGACGTATATAATATGCACACACATACACATACACACAATGCATACATATGTGCACATACACACATGCACACACATACATCCTTTCACAAGGCGATGCTAAGGAGGGAAACCTGAATACAGTCGGCCTTCCATTTCTGAGTTCTGTACCTGGGGATCCAACTGAAGATGGAAGATTTTCAAAACGAAATCATATCTGCACTGAACATGTAAGATCGATTTTGTCATTATCCTCTGAACAACATGATATGACAATATGGTATAATAGCATTTATAGCACATTAGGTGTTACAAGTTATCCAAAGACAAGACAAAGTATATGGCAAAATATTCATGGGTTATACACAAATACTATACTATTTTATAAGGAAGAATTTGAGCCAGATGTATACATGGTGGCACACATCTGTAATCTTAGCCCTCAGGAGGCAGAAGCAGGAGGGTCATTGACAGTTTGAGGCTGGTCTGAGCTAAAAAATGAGTTCAAGACCAGCCTGAACTACACAGCGAGACCCTGTCAAAAAACCAAACAAGAAAGAAAAGAAAAAGAAAGGAAAGGATTTGGGGACCCAAGGATTTTGGTGTACACACGGTTCCTGGAGCCAATTCTCTGCAGTTACCAATGGTCAACTCTAATACGTTTTTCTAATTATAGAAAAATATTTGGGATTTGAACCTGCGAGTAAGTTCCCTAAGATAGAACACCAAGTTGCATGGTGCACTTGGGTACTGTGGTCAGGTTTTGCAAGTCAATTCGATTGCAGTTATTATCTCTTTTCTTCTTTGTTGTCGTCTATGTCTGCTGCAGGAACCCTACCTGACTCTAATGAATATAATGGGAAATCAAACTACCGTCGCGTCCCCATGCTCACTGAACTGAGTAAGTTATGTTTCAAGGGAGAATCTTTATGATGCATAATTGATGTCCCTAGATTCTTTTTAGAAACCAGAGTCAAGGATTAAGGAACCAGAGTGGGGCCCAGAGAGCTTTAAGTGCTTGGCTGGATGTCACCCTGGGCTTTTACTCAACTGGTGACATCATCCAGTGGAGTCGCCCTAGCTGGCGTCGACGTACAGGAATAATATCTGCTTCCCCATTCTCCGAGTACCAGGAGAGGGCGGGGATGGGTAGCCTGCTTGTGCTGACTCCCAGGAGGGCTGTGGGTTGGAAGTCCGCTAGTAAGGCTGTCCCTGCACTGACCTACCATCATGGGACTTGGGCCATGCGTTTTCCTTTCCATCAGCCACACCAGGGAAGGACTAGGGGAGATGGAGGAAGCGTGCAGATTTTGAGGGGAGACCCACTCTTGGGGTGCATACATCTCATGTTCAAGGGGTTTCCCTTGCATCATGAGTGGTACCTGCCAGTCTTTCTGAAGCTATCAACAGCAGATATTATTTATATTTTACTTCCCCCACCCCCATCCTGTCTGGACCATCTCTAACTCCCAAGGCAGTAATACATTAAGTTCATGAATTAGAGAAAGACTGCAAATTAGAGTAGCTAGGAGAAGATGGTCCAGCTTTCCCCTGGTGTAGACGAGCATTTGGTCAACCTCCAGGGACTCACAGGCTTTGTTCAGCTAAAGGGCTTCTGGCACTAGACAGCCTTTGTCCAATTAGCCTAACAAGTCACCTACAACTCCTCTCTTTCTGGCTGCGAACGGTCGCACTGACATGGAGCTGCAGACTTGACTGCCTGCACTTTGGGACACAATGTACAGGGCCTGCCGGAAGCCAGCTAAGAGGCTGCTGGTGTAGGATGACACAGCAAGATCTGAACAAAGGCTCAAGAGACATGTGTGTGTGTGTGTGTGTGTGTGTGTGTGTGTGTTTAGCACTGCCCGTGCCAGGAGAGCAAAGGAAGAGTGCATATGAGATGGGATTTGGTATTAGTCAGACCCTGCTCATCTTTTATACAAATATTACTGTTCTCAGAAGAAAATGATTCACTAATACCCCCAGTGCATCACTTCCCCTAATTTGCTGAGAAATAATTTAAGGCATTAAGGTATAATCCAATCTTATCCATGATGGTATCCTGAGTTGTATGACCTATGGATTTGATTGGATCTGTAATATCAAGAGCTACAATATTAAGAACCATGAAGGATCTAAATCCATTCAACCTGCAAACCAACAAGTTAACTGGTCATGGGTATTGGCAAAAAACACAAGACCCCTTGAGTCAGAGATAGAAAAGCATGAACCATGAAAGTTTATGACAGCAGTAATAGCAGACAGGGTGTCATCATTGTGGTGCAGATGAGCCAATATCTGCTGCCCATGGAGTGACATGAAAAGGTTCAAGTCATACCACAGCCTCAGTGAGGTGCTGAATGGAAGAGGAACCTGAGTTTAGGGAACCAGAACCTTTCATACCAGGCAGTAAGCATAGTAAGCATGCCCTCCCTTTGCCCAGAGACAGACAGTGTCTCTGTCTTCCAGTGTCACTTTCTATACAGACATTTTTTCAAGCAGTAGTCCAGGTGGGAAGGCAATCAGTGCCTCTGATCTCCTTCTCAATAACAACCAGTTGTGTTCACTGCAGAGTGTGCCTGCGAGGCTCTGAAGTGAAGCCTGGGACCTGTGTAGATGTGCTAATGGTTTCTTTGGCTTCTACGGTACAGGCCCCAATTAGAATGAATCTCTAATCCCTTACTTACCTAAAGCATGGTCCCTGAATCAGGGACTTCTGCACCATCCCACCTCACTAGTGTCTGCTGGCTGTAAACTCTCAGGCCCCACCTTGTACCTAATGAGTCAGAATTAATGTGCACAGTAAATGTGGAGAGAGACTACTCTACCTCACTCTGGGCCCAACAGACTCTGGAAACATAAGTAAATGAACAGTCATTGTGGCACAGGATTGTAAGAAAGGGCTCTAACCAAAGTGACCATACATCCTTTACTTAGGCTCACTGTGTCAATGCAGTTCTTAAGAATCACCCTAATCCCCTATTACTTCCCAAAATGTCCTAATTTAAAAGTTAGAACTCTATAAGGGTGGAGAAACTGAGGTGTGCTAAAAAAAATATCCACTTGATGACAAATGTGTGCAAGAGGAACATGTCATTTTCAGGGGAGCAAGGTACTAGGGAAGGGAGAAAAAAGAAAAAGAATGCACCAAAGTAAGGGCACATCCCACAAAGTCCCCAGAGTAGCCCCCAGTCCTTCAACCAGTGGTCACTATGGTCCTGCGTCGCGTGGCAACTCCTGTCCCTTTGTCTGCCTGCCTTTCCCTTTTTGCCTCTTGTGTCTTGCAGGGAACCCTTCCAACATCCACTTTATCGAGCAGCTCGGTGGACTAGAAAGGAGCCTGACAGGGTTGAACCTGCATCTCAGCACTTCCTTTTCCACAGGCGCTGTCTTTTCTGGCAACTTCCTGGACTCCCTTCTGGCCACAGTAAGTGCATTTGAGTCAACAAGTCCCCCAAACCAACATCCCGTGGAGAGGTGAGTGGGAAGGTTAGGCCACACAGATAAAAGCTCACAATTCCAACTTCCTTCATTTTCAAGAAAACCTTGTTGGCATACGTGATTTCTTTTTTTTACACTCACTTGAGAAGGAAGCAAAACATCCACATGATCGAGACTGAAAACACGCATCTCTCGGTGCCAGAACCCCAGAGGGCAGGAGAAACAGACACGTGATGGCCTTGCAGCTTCAGATGCTGCTTTCCCTTCTCTCTGGAATCTCTCAGCAGCTCATGCACACAACAGGCATACAGGGACTCAGGGATTCACGAAAAGAGGCTTTTGGTTTTGGCTTCGCCCAGGGCTAAGTCAAGGCCTCACACATTGCCCTCCTTTTGGGATCTGTTTTAAGTACATGGTGATTGTTCAGACCTCAGCATTTCTTTAGCTGCCAAATAGATCCCTCCTGTCCATTACAGGATTCCCCTAAGTGGTATCCACTGTACACTCATTGCCCAGGGGACACCTACACAGTCACAGAGCACTGTGAGAGCTGTAGCTGTGATAAGACCAACAGAAGCCTCCATCTCTACATAGCTTTGCACTCTGGGAGGAGGCTGACATAAACCAATCCATCAGTAATGTAGAAAGGATGTTGGATGCAAGGGCCAAGGAGAGGCAAGGGGTACCAGAAAATGTAGGGTTTGGGGAAGGCATGGCAGGTGCCAGCATGCAGCCAGGGAAGGTAGCACTTTGGAAAGGCAGCACCTTTTCCATTCTCTGGAGAGGTGGAGGTACAGCCTTTCAGGTCATTGGGGAAGAAATATTCCAGGCAAATCTGTGAAGTGGAAGCACACCACAGGCCTTGGAGGAATTCGAACTTGAACCCAGAGATTCTATATACAGACACTTGTGGATGAATACAAGGGGAGCAAAAAAGGGAATCTATGAAGTCCACCACTCCACAGAGCTCTCCTACCAGGATTTTGTAAGGAAAGGGTTACAAAAAGACTGAACAACGACACACAGATGCTGGCATGCTCAGGGCATGGTTTGATAAACATGCAAAGTCATGGAATTCCATAGAGTAGAAGCATCATTCCTGAATCATACAGAGGCCTTGAAGGCACAGTTTGCATGCTTAGGGGAGTGTGGTTGGGGTCTATGCACCCTTCTCATGGTAGTGATGCCATTTATATGGAGGACATTATGTACCCATTGCCTCTCTGAGTCACAGTGGAGGTGGAGCTCATACATCCCACTGAGGTCTGGGACAAGTGGCACTACCCTAGTGACAGAGCACATCCTGAACAAGTTGGGAGGCTAAAAATTCCTAAAAAGTTAAGCAACAGTCAACCTTGCCAGAGCCAGAGGGGGGTGCAGTGGAGGAAGGGAGTCATGTCAGGTTACTTTTCCTAGGAAGGTAGCTCTGTCAAAGTATCCTATTGCTGTCTGTCACCGACACATCAATTAGCTTGGCTGGAATTAACGACTGGAATGCCAGGCAAAAGGTGACTTCTGATGAACTTAACTTGTCTGCAGGAGACATTTCAGATAGGTTTAAGCTCCCAGTTCTCTTAAGAGACTCTGTGGTGGCAGGCAGCTCCATGCTTTAAATTAGACTTGAGACTTAATTAAATTCCACTGCTCCACAGGTCCACATAGACAAGAATAAAGCACAGATTCTATTTAGTCTGTCGGAGAGGCTGTATCATAGTCTATTTTGTATGGCTATCCCAAAATACCCAAGACTAGATCACTTAAAGAGCATAACAGTTAATTGGGCTTATAGTTTTGGAGGCTGCAAGCCTAAGAACAAAGCCAATAACTGCCTGGCGTCTGGTGAGTGCCTTTCTGTGTCATCCCAGAGCATGAATGAAACACAGAGGGCAGGAGACCAAACTCATCCTTTTTATCCAGCACTTACTGTTGTAATCACTAACCTGGGCCCAAGGTCACAGTGCTCATCTCTTCACATCCTGACACTGTTGCAGTAGGGATTCAGTCTCCAGACAAGCTGTTTGTATGACACACTGAAGCTATAGCAGGCAGGATAGATGGAGAAGACTTGAAAAGGTAGAGAGGAAGAAAAATGAACATACCATAGAAGACAGTATTGGAAAGAAAAACTTGGTACTCAGGAGTCTTCGACCAAGTGTTGGCATCTGGGCCCAGGGATGCTGCCCGTCATTCATCACATGAGAGTGCCCCTTCCTTCAAAGACACCTTCTCATATTGTGTGGCTGGGTTTTACCCAGTACAAGAGGGTGATGTTTCCTGGGAAACAAAACAAGTAATAGAACATCTCAAGAAGTTTATTCCCAAGGTCCCATGGTAAAATCAGTGGAGGAGAGACAACATCAAGTAAGTATGTTCTGTATAGGGGGTTGTCGCATGGGTGGCACAAGCCACACTGGGTCATCAGCTGGCCTTTCAAAACTCTTCGAAAATGTTTACATTAGGATTGGGCTTGTTCACCCAGATATGGAAGGGCAATGAGGTCTCAAGTTGAAAAGCATCCCTTAAGTTAGAGAGGCTGGACTGGATCTTGGGCTTCTACGTAGCTACGTCCCAGCCTTCTGCACTGGGTATTGAGTCTTTAGTGATGCAGTCAGGGTGTTGTAGTCAGGGGTTGTACACAGAGAACAACTAGGATTAGGACATGGAGTTTATAATACTTTTATAATGGTCACCGGGAGTTAACCCAGGAAAATGCAGGAAATCTACCCGCAACACCAAAGACATAGATTTATTTAGTCAAGAGCCTAAACCCCATGGCAATGTCCCACATGAGTCCAGATAAAAATCCAGAGCTCAGGACAATGCCTCCCACAAGTCCAACTGGAGGCCCAGAGCCCACAGGAAGGACTCAAACCAGTCTCCTTTACGGATCCGTGCCGGGAAGACCCAAGGTTCAGCAGTGGAAGCCAGAAAGTCTATGCCAGCAGAATGAAGGAGCTGTGCTAGTGGGATGAGGGTTCTACGCTGGAGCCGAGAAGTCATACTTACAAAGACCAGGGCTGTCCTGAAAGGCACCACAGCTGTCCTCAGCAACATGGAGGCCCCAAGCTCCTCCAATGACAAGCACAGTTGGGTATGTGCCAGGAAGCAGTGTGATGAGTTCGTCCTGGAGACCAAGCAGCACATGTTTTCCCCTCCGGAGCCAGAAAGCAATGCTCGATGTGAAGACCAAAGCTTCTCCAGGAGAACCAACAGCCCAGACAGCAACTCATAGGAGAACCCACAATTCCTCCTTAATGCCTCAACCCTTCAACACATCCCTCCTTTTCCACCTATTTATCCTGGCAACTTTCCTCAGGTGGAGCATCTTCACTCAATGCCATGCTGATGTAATCCAGCTGGCGTTAAGCTGATGACCAGTTCTTAACCCATAACACATGGCACGGTACAATGAACACGCTATAATAATGCTAAAAGGGTGAGCTGACGAGGCCATTGACAGTCAGCACGAGTGCTGCCCATTCTTGCTTTCCTTTCCCAGGGCATGACGTGACTTCCAGGGTGGGGGTCCTGGCATACACACAGAAAGAAAGCATTTAAGCATCAAATGAAAGTTGATCTCTGGCTTCTGTTTCTACTGTTTCCTCTCCTTTGGGGACCATTTGATTCTGACTGCTTTTCTGATTGTGCTGTCTTGTCTCACAGAAATAGCCACAGAGAAGAAGACAACATTCAACCGTCTTCTATTGAGACATTTGGAGTCACAGAGGTGGCTCTAGAATGTGTCCTCAAACACCCCTTTTTCTTAACCATCTCCTTACTGAGATTGGGAGGAAGGCAAATGATAGATGCTGCCAACTTGGGGCTTAGCTGTCTCTAACATGACATCTACCCAACTTGGCACCAACCCTGAGAAACAACTTATCTCTCCAAAAGTAACTTCAGGGGCTGAAGATTTAGCTCAGCGGCATAAGCGCCTGCCTTGCAAGCAGGCAGTCGTGAGTTCGATCCCTGGTACCGATAAAAAAAAAAAAAAAGTAACTTCAGTGTTGTTCTAATTCTAGAAACAGCTTCCTACCCCCTTTTTGTGTGTGCACTGAGTCCTCTCTCATCCCAAGACTCCACAATCACCCAAGTGCCTCACCCCCAGCCTAACTCCATAAAAACTGATCCCCCAACTCCATTTTTGCATCTTGGCACTGTTCTGCGGCCCTCCCATTCCTGCAACAAAGGCCTCTTCTCTCTCTCTCTCTCTGTCTCTCTCTCTGTCTCTCTCTCTGTCTCTCTCTGTCTCTCTCTCTGTCTCTCTCTCTCTCTCTCTCTCTCTCTCTCTCTCTCTCTCTCTCTAACTGTACCACAAAACCTAATAGCAAAGACTTCATTCTTCCTTTATGTCCCCTAAAAGATTCATGTGATCATGGGTGGGGATACTGAAAGGTGATTGGATTAGGGGTCTGGGGTTGATTTACTGTTAAGACGGGGGTCAGATGAGGGGGGAGATTGCTGGGGGTGACCTCAAAGGGCTTCTCTCCCTCCCCAGCTTCTCCCTTCACCTCTGCTTCCTTGCCATCATGCCCTGTGCAGCTTCCCCTCTGCCATGTTGTCTTGTTTTGGAGCCAGCTGAATGTGGGCTGTAAGCATAAGCCAAAGTAAATCGTGGGTGTCAGGGATCCTGTCCCAGTGATGAGGAAATAAACGCCGTCCTCTTCTTCAGTTACAGTGGCAACTGTGGGTCCCCTACCAATCTTTTGCCATAACAAACATCACTGATGCCTGCAGTTTTCTACCAGATCATACCTGTGAGTCTTCCCTAAATGGACCTTTAAATTCTGTGGCCAAGATGATATCAAGGACAGTAACAGGACCTGTTCTAGGAAGCGTAAGACCATCTATCAAACACTTACCTTATGCCAAAGATTTTACCTGGCACTTTGCCTACATTCCCTTCATAATTCTCCTTTCAGTGTAGCTGACCTTGATGCTTACAGGGGTAAATAATCTGCCACAGGCCACACCACTGACCAATAACAAGTTATTTCTCAGGCCTCAATTTGTGTGAATCTAGAGACAGATCTCACTACTATTATTCACTGCCACTCCAGAAGTTGAGTTCTGGGCCTGTTAGAATCTTTCCAATATGGTGACTTGCAGGTTTTGCTAGGGATTCATCTCTCCAAGTGCTCAGGCATTGCTGAGGAGATATAAAGGAGACAAGAAAATACCCCATCTCTGCTTCTCCATTAGAGCAACATCACTTTTCTCTATGTCATAGCTGAGGCACCTGCATAAGATTTCATTGGAAGAAAGATTCCTGTTACAATTCTGGAAATTCCTCCTTAGAAGCTGGAACATACTCCCACGAGAGATTTGTAAAAAGTTCTCCTCAGTTCCTCCATGGGTTTCCAAATTCTTGTCACAAGTCCTGTGAAGGAGGTAGGAATCAGCATTCCACCCATTTTGTGTGGCTCTTTCATCCTACTACTTCCGTCCCCAGAGAAGATCTTCTAGATTTGACTCCTCCAGCCTGTTGCTGACTCACAGCAACAGAGATCTGTTCCCGCTGTTGTCCATCAGTGGTTAGAATTAGGCACAAAATGTTTGTTTCCCCTGATGCCTGCACATTGAAAAGGCAAGAGCAGGTGGTTTTGAACAGACTCTCTCAAGGCAAAAGACTCACATAACTAGTTTCTGCAAAGATGTGAACACTAATCTTGACTTCGATCATGGTGAAATCTTATTTCCCACATAGCATTCAAGGGCCCTCTTCCTTCTCCTCTGTACTCAGAAAACCTCACAGTACTTTTCCATTGTTTCCCTCCTAGTTCTCCCTGATAAACTCCCAGGAAAAATCTACAAATTCTGAGGAGAAAGGAAAGCCTATAATAGCATGCTGCAGACTCATCACTGTTGAGAAATACTGAGTTCTTGTTCTATATGTTCAACCACTTTAAAAAAAATTTATCCTCTGATAGATGTATTTTTCCAAAATAATCTAATGGGCTTTTCCTTCTAAATCTCCAACTGATTTCATTTGAAATTAGAATAGCTTCAAATAGCCCCCAGGATAATAGCTAATCTCCTGCCCCAGCTGGAGAAATATGCCTATAAAATATAATGCAGATTCACTTTTAATCCTCCATCAGTTTCATGCTTGAAAAATCAAAATATGGCAAGAGAGTCAGATCCATATGCAAAACTTTTGTGTGGCTTTACAATACACGAGTATCAGAAATACGCATGGATTTAAGAAGCATTTCTTGTACTTGCAAGGAAACTGAGACCCACAAAAATTACATGATATTTTCACAGTCTCTTCACTGCTTGAGTAACAGTTTTCTTACTTTATAGTCTCACTCTAAACTGGAGGTGTCTCTCATACTATGTTTGATCTTCTAGCCTTTGAGGTTCTCGAATAAAAAGCAGCAAGTGGTAAAGATGTTAGTGACTATATATGATTAGCCAGTATTATAGATTACAAGACATACGCTATGCTTCATCACAGCTAAGTGTCAAAACATCTGGGTGCAAAATTTTCTAATTTGGAAGTCCAAATTCTAGTAAATATTTTTATATTAGAAACACTGTCCAAGTTTAGAAGCCCAAAGATGCTTCAAGCACATTTCAACATGCAGATTTTCTTAAGTAGGAAAAAAAGCAAAGGAGAAAGCAAATGAGAGAAGGAGAAAGGGAACTGAAGAGAGGAAAGAAAAGAAAATCAAAGTAAAAGGAAAGAACAAAATAGAGGTTGAGAAAGGTCAATATCAAAAAAACTCCAAATAAGACTAAGGAGATGAGCTCACAGAATAAGGGTGATGTGCAAATCTCATTATTTCCCTCAAAACAGAATCACAGTTCTTTTGATGTCAAAACTGAAGAAATGATATGTTCAAAAGCTAAGTTTCTCCATTAAATATGTAAAGCATATCTTTCCCTTGAGCCATCAACACCAGGATAACCCTAGAATTTACACCTTTTCTTTAATCAGTGGAGAATTATCCTAACAGTATTATGTTTGATCACTCTTCATTTTGGCCACATGTTCTTAAACGGATTGTGGCTTAACCTGGATTTATGTTCTCCACTCCCTGCCTGTGGCAGGGGTCTGATTCCATAAATACCCTTCCAGGTGGCAGCAGGATTAAAACAAAGCAGAAATGTAAGCAGGAGCCTCCTCCAGTCTGAACATGGGGGAGAAGTCATCTTTTAATCTGAAAAATATTGTAAGAGTGATATTAATTTATTCGTAAGCCATATAAATTATATTATTTCATAAATCAGTTTATTCCAGTTGCCTCCACATTTTACAAGTAAGTTTTATTTGTTAAAAATCACTTGCCCACTGCAGTCAATATTCTCACAGCTGGCAAACACCTGCCTTGTGCAAAGCACCACAGAGGACATAAGTGTTAAGCAGACAAAGTCCATCCTGGAGAGAACACAGAATTTTAAAGTCCCGTTGTGCTTCTTGTTTGAGGTCCACCCATGTCAGACCCACCAGGAGTGCTCTTTAAATTCTGGATTTCACTCTCATTTACAAGTTCTGATCCAGAAGAGCTGCCATCCTGGAACTCTGTGCTCCTTCAGATGACCCACTGCATGAAAACCGTTGACAGAGGAAGTCAGAATTATTATAGGTGCAGTGAACCTCATTAAATCTTGAAAATCATGGCTATTCCACATCAACTTCAAAGGTTATAAAACTATTTCTGAGAAAAACAAAAGCACCGTGTACTCCCCCAAAGCCATTTAGCTGGAATGTAATAATCCAAGATTCAAACACAGGCACATTTTATCCAAACCCCTGACTATAAAATACAGAGGAAAGAACTAGAATAAAAGCCAGTGGTCACTGGATCACAAGTAGGAGGACTCATTCTGCTGAGAGCTTCTGGCTGGTGAGATAGGAGCCAAATGTTCCAGGGCGAACACATGCAGGAATGTAAGCAAAGCTCAGGTAGCTGGGGACTGACCAGTACATGGTGTGGACAGCGACTTACATAGGTGGCCCTGGACATGGAGGTTGTGCTCGATCACAGTGGCTTTGAAGAGCTTAATGAAGTGCTGTGGACTAAGTTTTACAGCTGGAGTTATACACTAAGGTTTGAGGAAGTGAGTAGGATGATCTGACTTGTTATTCTGGACAATCACTCTGGAAGTACCATGAACAATGAATTGCAAGTGAGAAGAAAACTAATTCAGAAAAAGTGTAAAAGGTTCCTCTAACATGCAAGCTTCAGCCAGGGGATAGGGCACATGTCTGTAGCTCCAGCATTCAGGAGACCAAGATGGGAGATCTCATTAGCCCAGCAGTACAAGGCCAACCTGAGCAACATAGCAAGATGCTGTCTCAAGTAATAAGAATGACAATAGCAGCAATCTTCAGAAGACATTTCTCTAAATTTGCAAGTAGACTATATGAATGGGATAATTCCAGAAAACTAGCATTATTAATTATAAAAGCAAAACTATTGATTTCCTGATAAATAATATATAAACATCTATTTCTTCTTTTCTATTGGAGTTAAAGTCCAATACAAACTTGAAAAGGATGGAAATTTTTAAATTATATATACAACAGATTTGGAGAAAACCACCAGGTAATGCATTGCAATGACATTTACATATAAGTGCTTAGTGCAATGATTGACACACTGTGTCAATTTGAGAAGTTTGGAACTAAGTTCAACTGAGTGACTCAGCATGGAACCAGGGTCCTCACTTTGTAAACATCTTCATCCTATGCAAGAGGAGAGCATGGAAATGGTGTGAGTGCTATGCCCAAGCTAGAGAGTAGCAGCCTCCTCATAATATAAGGGATGAAAAGAGTCTAGCTTCCCATTCCCCGTTTTGCTCTTGCTAATTTTGCTGTATCCTGCCACATTGAACTGTTGCCCCTGGGCCATGCCACCTTGCTTTGGAGCCAACTGATTATGGACTAAAACCTTCAAAACCTGTGAGCTAAATAAACCTGTGCTTCCTTAATTTTGAGCGTTGAGTATTTTTCCTGACTATAAGAGAAAAGTAACTAAGACACTTAGTTTACACTAATTGTGGTAGGAATTCTGTAGAAAGAGAATACATGAAAATTTAGCATTATTCACACTCAATCTTGTTTCAGAATAAGTTTGCCCACATGTCAACATCTAGTTTAATTTCAGTTCAAGACCTAAGCCAATATCTGTCCTCAAGTAGGTCACAATCAAAAGGGTATGAGAAAATTCACATCCCAAAACCTCAAGTGTAGGCAATCAGCAGTCCCCCAGGACAAACCCATAGGGATACCACAGCCTCCCATATTCCTCTGGTCACTTGTGGAAGAGAAGAATTATTGATGTAGCACCATTACCAACTTTCTTCTCCTTTCATGATGTTTGTTCCAAGGAAACAGGAACTAAATCTACCTGTTTTCTCCTTGCTCCACCTAGCCCAGCCCCCCACTCAGACTGCCCACTTGCAGTTAATCTTCATAACGATAATGAGAACCAGTATGGGGCATCACAGGGGACCATCTCAAACAGTGGTCCCTACCAAGGCTCTAGGTCTGAACCCTTTCACCAAGCACACATTGGTTCTTCTGACCTTGTACCCAGTTTGTCTTTGCTTTCCAGGCTTTCTACAATTACCGGGTCCTGGAATTCCTGCAAATGCTGGTGACAGGAGGGATCAGCTCTCAGTTGGAACAGCATCTGGATAAAGAGAAGTTTGGCAAGATGTCAAACACTTGCACCACATTTGTGTCTGGAAGAATGCGGTGTAAGCTAGGGTTGTTGTCCTTAAACCGAACTATTTTATCAGACATTAAAGTGAGTGCATTCTTATCATAATAGATTTTTTTTTTCTGAAAGAAGACTAAACTAGGTTCATAGATGATCTACTGTACAAAAATAATAGCAATGACAATGATGAAAAAATTAATGTGACCTTGTATTCATATATCATTTTACAATTTATAGTATATTTTCACAGTTTATGGGGGGTTTTTTGGCAATACTCCCAGGAGACAAAACATTTTTTTCTTATATCTACCTTTCATCTGAATAACTCAAATCTGTAAGATGAGTGGCCTGATGTTTTGTTTTGGTTGTTTCTTCCCAAAGTTCACGTTTTAAAATTTTTAATCTCTAATCCAAGAGTGTTAAGGGCAAGGCCTTTAGGAAGTGATGATCTTATAAGGCCATGAATGAATTAAAGGCATTATTAAAGGAATGCATTGGTTACGATGAGAATGGGTTTCCGATAAAAGAATGAATCCATCCTCCTTCCCTTTATTTCAAAAGTGGACTGTTTTGTCTTCCCACCTTATGCCATAAAATGACACAACAAGAAAGCAGCTGCTAGATATCAGGTCGCTTGAACTGGAGCTTCCCATTCTCTCAGATTGTAACAAGTACATCTTATATGTATTACACGTTCTCAGGTATCCTGCTATAGCGGCATAAAATGAACCAAGTCACCTGATAACTTTGTATTTTGACAAGGGTGCTGGTAATAATTCTGATAGCTAATGCTTACTGAATATTTCCTCTGTGCCTGTCTACTTTAGTTTTCACTTAATTTCTTTAATTTTTTTCTAGTAGTCATTATTATTTACCCCATTTAACAAATCAAGAAGCTGAGGCCCATAGAAGCCAGAGCTGAGCTTAGGTCACCACACTGGCCACCGGTGTCATAGTGAGCATCTGTTAGAGGCAGCCTGACTCAGGGGCTGGCCTGCTCTCACTGTACCCCAAATGCTGAAGAAATCCAATCAGGTCAGAGGGTGTCAGGCAGAACTTCTCTGTGATTTGATGTAAGAATCTCATTGAGCTAAGCAGTGGAGTGTTTTTGAGTTTTCTTAGCCCAGACAGCTGCTAAACAGAAAGGAAAGATAAGAACTCTGGCAAGTCCTAGTGGGGCACCTGGCATTTGGGAACCAGAGTACAGTTTAGCTAGGACACAAGTAATCTGTTAGCGAGGCTCCTTTTAGGTTAGCTTGGATCAAGACTGCATCCATCTGTCAAGTGTCACCGCTAGGGTTAGAATTGACGAGGAAATGTATTTGTTGGTTCAGAACACATCAGAAAAACCCCTTTCACAAGGAGCACGCTCTTCTAGGTTCTGTGCCAGGTGAGTCTTGACATTTGCTACCAAAGAAGACATGTCCTGGGTTCTGGGCATTTGATTCCAAGTGCAAACAGCATGGTAAAATTTTTGCAGTGGGGTCTGGTCCTTTAGTTTTTGGCTCCTCACCCACAGTTGCTATATGAGAGATTTTAAGCCTAGTAACCTGTTGCTGAGGGCACCTTGTTGGTGTCAGAGGCAACTGCAGATGAGGCTCTACCCTCTCTTTCCTCCCTACGTGGGTGTCTTGTCCTCACTTTTCTCTTTCCCTGAGGAATCATAGAACTGTAAAGAGTGTCCACGTTTGACCTTTCTTAATCTACATGACCTATCTGGTACTCTCTTTCCACCCACTGTGACCGTGTTGGCCATAGTGTAAGAACAAGGTCAAAGAGATTGCTTTTGATTGTGATGTGCATTAAAGTGGAAGAAGATGATCAGAAAGAAGAGGTCATTGAGACCCTAACTGATTATGTACTTCAAAAACTGAATTTGCCAACTAGCTGCTGTTGTTCCCTCTTCATGGTCACAACAGCAATAGTCATAACCAAAAGCATATGCCACACCACACCTACAAGAGCTTTTGAAAGAACCAAAATGATGAAACCATTCACTGAGAATAGAGTTTCCAGGTCAAACATAGCCACAGTCATTACCTAGCCACTTGAGCTTACCAGTATATGTATACTAGGAAATGGCTTTCAGGTCTTCCACTCAAGTAAATGCTAATTATTGCATAATTAAAATGCCCCACAGACACACATTTTCTTTTCTCTCCCCAGCCAAGAAAAACCTTTGGACAACTGTTCTGTGGCTCATTAGATAATTTTGGAATCCTATGTGTTGGCCTCTACCGCATGATAGATGATGAGGAGAACAACCCAGAACACAAAAGGGGAGTATTTTAGTCTGCAAAGTGTTAGCAACTCATCCAAGAATATGAGACAGAGGTATTTTATTCAGTGTGAAAGGTCTCAAGTGACCCCGAAGGATACAAGGGAAATAGTTAATGATGTGTAATAGTAAGGAAGAATGTTTACAAACAACAGGGACCTGATCGTCTAGGATACAGTTAATATTGATCTTGTAAGAAGAATGAAGTTTTTGCTCACAGTGAAAACTGAACCAGGTTTAAGTAAGAGTAATGGTCACTGCTCACATTGGAAAGTTTTACAAGCATTGTTGTTGGGAAGATATTTCCTGAGTGCTTCATTCTAGCTGCTGTTCTTCTTTACTCATAAATCAGGTAGCATCATATAGATTTCTGTTTTATTAAAGGAAGACCTTTTTCCCAGCAGTGTGGAAGATAGAGGAAATATGTGTTACATCCACACAGTTGTGTGGGTCCAAGCCAAGGTCCTTATGGTGGGGCTGGGCAGCAATCAATGCAGATGGAGAAATTTTAAATAATGAAAATAGATTCCTGAAATCTGTTTCAGGAGAGAGAAGTCAAATTACTTAATGTGGAGTGGTCTTGAATAGAAGCGGGGGGGGAGAGTTAAAAAATCTCCCTACTCATAATAGAAAAGGAAGAGAGAGCCAGATGCTAAGGCAGATAGAGCTCTAGATGAGAGGTGCCATTCTGAGAGTTTTTATTTGGCACTAAGATTCCTCAGGGCACAGCCTTTGCTGGGAAACGTTAGGTTAGGTTAGGCCTAAGCCAAGCTGCAAATGTCTGGAATGCATGTCATTTTCTGGTGTGATAATGCTTGGGTAAGTGGTCAGTATTGTGCCAGTTGCAGTCATTAGTGAAATGCATATTAAAAACAGATAAAGCAGGAGTCAAAAAAGCCATAAAAGGTAACCCATCCAAGCCAGTCTTATCCTACTCTCATCAAAGCCTTGAGAATAGCAAGGCCCACAGAAGTGAGAGGCTGTGCTAAAGGTACAGTATCAGAGGCAGGAATCAAAGCCAACCCCCTAATTCCTACTCCAAGAGACCTCCAATTGTAGAGCTCCAGAGATAGTTACTATTAATCATAATCCAATGAGGCAAATCAAAATAGAAGCCTTTCCTTTTCAGCCCATCAAAATGATGTCTGTGTTTTGGCCACTGTCTGGTGACATAGTGTCCCATCTGCATCTTTGGATTTTCTTACAGGTTTGTGATTACTCGGCCAACCAATGAGTTTAAGCTGCTGTCCTCAGATCTTGTATTTTGTGCTATCCCTTACAACACTACCTGTGACAAAAAGCGTGATGTTTCTGCATCTCAAACTCAGTATGAAATTATTAATGTAGTACCACTGACACCAAACATGCAACCAGGTATAAACCATCCTCCTACAAGCAACCCTGTGGAAGAGGACTCATCACAGTCATGGATTTCCTCAGCACAGCTCTGAAGTCAAGAACATTCTGAGTTTCTAAATTTCAGGAAGCAATGCAGAATCAGAGTTGCAAGTTGCCACTCCAGAAATTTCTAGATGAAAAAGAAAAAGAAAAAGGAAAGGAAAACATGAAGGAACTTCTAAGTGAGGATACTCTTCATATTCTACACTAAACTAGACCTATTAACATTTTTCACAGGGTATCGAGCTGCTCCTTACAAGGCATCTCTAGTGATAAAGACTTAGAAGCAGGAAAATAAAATGCAAGCATGCCATCTCTGTGCCCACTGCTCAGTGGTTGACCAGCAAGCTCACTTTGTTTTGAAAGAGACATAACTCTAATCTTATCCCACTGGATCTGATATGATAGATATATAATAAATGTCATTAAAGTTCATTACTCTGTTTCCCTTGAGCAAAAAGTGTATCATATGAGTGGTATTAAAGAAGTCCTCTAGATGGAGATATACTGTTGGAATAGGAAACCAATTCATTTATAACTAAGGCCCAGGTATACGTCTGGCCCATAGTACATGTTTAATGTGAAGAAACATTCAAGTAGCTTGGGACAGGATACCTGGATGAACACATGTAGATTGAAATAGGTAACCTTTTAAATCCCCTAACTCAGGAATAGCAACATCATTGCATGAAAGGTTCACAACACTCCCCCATATTCCATGTTCCAATCTACTGCTCCATACATTTCGTCAGTTAAATAATCTTCCTTAGATATTACTGTTAGCATAATAAGCAGAAGTTCAGCACATCCAGGAAATACATACTCACTTCAAGTTGGTGTGACTCTTTAATGATGAGACTGGTAAGCAAATCCTTCTTACCCTTCAACATAGGTAGGGAAAAAGGAGAAAGAAAATTATATACTACATTTCTCATAAATTGTTTTATATAACATTTAAGATATACCTTATGTTATTATCTTTAATTATTTGATACTATTATCCCTGTTTCACAAAAGAAGAAACAATATCACATATATGTCACTAATAAACAAAAATATTTTTAGTGTTAATATGTCTAAGTCATTGTACTTAGCTATTAAGTGATAATGTCAATATCCAAACTTAAAGGCAATTATAAACATTATGCCCTCAAACATCTAAATGAAGTGAACTAAAATAAAACATCATAGGAAATGAATATTCTCACTAGTTAAGCTTTAACTACAGTTAAACTCAGTCTATGTGAAAAAGAAAATAATTGTAAGAATTTTCAAGAACCTAGAAAATTCTTTTAAATATTTTTTAAATAATACTTGTCATCTTCATCCTGCTCCCTTTACATAAACTTTCCATATTCAAAGGGATATTAAGCTTTCTGGAATTCCATATTTTTGAGCATCAAAAACTTAAGGTACTATTTCTTAACATACAAATAACTTAATACTCATCAATTGCTCAACCCACAAATAATCTAATTTCCAACAGAATAGAGCAGTTGGAGTGAGAAATACCTTATTTTCCAGAGTTTTATAGGAATGGGTTCCAGAAATATGGCTAATGAAATATTAAGTGATAACCATTATGTGGGCCTTCATATTACCAGTCACAATAAATAAAATAGGCTCCCTAAATTTATTTCCAAGTGATCCCATAACTCCAGGTTCAAGTTCTTTGCTTCTAAATGGCAACATTTTATCACAAGTCATAACATCAGATCTTTTGGTTATGTGATGAATATTTATTTCCTAATAATGGTTTAACATGTATTAATAGGAAAACTAATATGAATGGAACTTAACAACTCAAAAACAATATGTGGGTTGATATTTACAATTTTTTGAGGCTATAGCAGTTTCAAAAAAAAAGTATACATGCATATATTCCTCATAATTCATCACAAGTTGGCCTATATTCTATGCATGGTTTTCTAGTTCATAATATGGACTGTCTGTAACCAGAAGAGTAATCACACAGGACCAGGAATCAAGTGACCTAAATAGTATTTTTGGATATCTCATTAATTTTTTTTTTCTTATCTTAAACCTTTCTCAGATCACTTTACGGTTCGTAAAAGGAGAAGTTAAGCTAAAATATTCTACCTTTATTTATCCTACGGACATGCTCCTTACCTGATTTCCTACCAGACACTGGGCTAGATGCCTGGGACAGAGTGGGAACAAGGCAGAGCTGCCTCCTCCTTGGGACACACACACACTCCCGTAGGAAGAGGTAGCAAGTCGGTGTGGTTAGTTAGTGAGGAGTGAATCAGCCAGAGGGGATGAGTTGGGGTAGGCAGGCAGGACCTGATCAAGAAAGATGTTGTTGAGTGCAGACACCAATTACTTTGTGTTCTCACTGAACTGAGGGGTGGTTTAAGGGTTTTAAATAAGGGGATGGATGGTGTGATTTATATTCCAAAGATCACACTGGCACTTAATGTTCAGTAGAGAACTAAGTAAACTCAAGTGGATTTCATCTCTGAAAACAGAAACCCACTCAAAAATGCTTGGTAAACTCTGGCAAAAGAATTTTTAAATATATATCATTTTTTTTTTTAAAAAAGATGAATTCCCAGCCAGAAGCAAGAGATTCATAGCCAGTAACAGTGTCTATGAGAGCCACGTTACAGCAAGCCACAGGATACAGATAAACACCAAGAACGATCAGCCATCAACTGTGAAGGAGACAGTTGATTCCTTTCACTAGCCCGAGAAAGGAGCAAGAAAATTTAATTTTGCATAAGAATCTGGATGCAAACACATCTACTGTGAGAAATTGAAACCCCACAGTCACATCACATGCAGCTGTAGTAATCAAATTTATGCCGTTTGTGGTAGGAATATAAAACAAGAAATACTGGGTGAAAAGTCTGACTGCAATCCAGTGACACTGAAGTGCCTGATTGGAAGAAGTCAATAATCTTTGCCAGGAAAATTTCTACACCCCAGGGCACACAAGACTCCACCAGGAAAAAAGAAAAATAAATTCAATACTTTCAAAATGTGAACAAGTTTTCAAATCTAGAAATAAGAAACAAAAGGGACACGAGAAAATTATCCCCATTAGTGAGATTTAGGAGATAAATCAAATGAGGATAGCGTGACCCCAGCTTTTGGATAGCAGCACAATCTGAAAAAAGACCATAAAATTGATATACTTAGTATGATGAAATTGGTTAAAACATGATTAGAAGTCATAAGAAAAGGGCAAAAATAGTCACAGTTGAAAAAATCAAACTTCCAGAAATCGTTAATTAAATTAAAATTCAATGTATAAATTGAGCAATAGATTAAAAACAAATAAATATGCAAAGGAGAGAGACTAAACAAATGAAAAAATATAACAAAGATGTTTAAAAACATAAGGGAAAGAATGAAAAGTACAATACACAATTAAATTTCCATAAAGGCAAAATAAGGAAAATGAAAAATACTGTAAAATTTTTAGAATTAATAAACCATAAAAATCCTAAGATTTCTTCACAAGTTCTATGCAGGAAACTTAAATTTATATGCACATATAGTCATATCCAAAAATCAGACGAAAGTCCAGTTTCCTAAAAGGGGATTACTATTGAGAAATTGAGAGATAAAAAGCACAATGAACCAGTAAAACTGAATGTCACCACAGTATCAAAGTTACCATTCAAAAGGGGAGGGTACCAAAGAACACAGTTTGAAAGACTGAGGATATATAACATGTAGACTTTTACTAAAAGAACTATCACAAAATGTTTTAGTAGGAAGAGATGGAAATCAAAATACGCAGAAATAAATAAGAAACAAAAAAAGAATAGAAAATTATTGTAAATAGATCAACTATAGAAATATGGCAGAAATAATTTGGAAAAGGTAAAAAGCAAATTAGAATGAACATAAAGAAACAATAGGGAATATGAGAGAGATGATGAAGTAAAGTTATTCTACAACTGTGGCATTGTCCAGGAAGAGGATAAAGATAATGATTAACTAGTATGGGTTGAAGCTGTGACGCATGAGGAAATTTGAATAATAAAATAACAAATGGAAAACCTATGACTTCTAATCCAGTCTAGAGAAACTAATCATAAAGTGACCTAAAATTGGAAATCAAAAATGTTGACTCAATCCACAAGAATCCAGGATATTTTAATAAAACCCTTTAAAAATCATACATAGAAAACAAAATTTAAAACTAGTAATGAATGCAAATATATAGTATTATATAGATATAAATGGGTCAACCTTGTTAAGTGAAGAAATTTTCAGGTTATATTTTTAATTATATGCTATTTATAGCAGAAAATATGATTTAGAAAATGTGGAACTGAAAAGAGATAAACAGACACTTGGCATAAGATAAAGTCTATTTTAAAACAAAAATCTTTAATAAAGAATATAATTGCATTTTATAATCTTAGTTGCAATAATTAGCAAACACTATGATTCTGAACTTTTATGCATATTACATGACTTTAAAACTTGTAAAACAAAAACTGACAAATTACCAAGAGAAACTGTCCAAACCACAATTCTGCAGAAGTATTTAACATATATTTCTCTGAAACAAATCACCAAAAAAACCAAAAAAGTACATACCTACAGTAATATGAATTTCACAGTTAACTAACTTGAGCAAATGGATGATAAGTACAGAAATAGTGTATATAAAGAAATAATCACTATTCAAATAAGTAAAAATATACATATTTTCCCAGGACATACACATTTTAATTTCCCTCATAGTCATCACCAAATCCAGCCTCTACTAGTCATTTGGGGCTCTTTGAAAACTTAAAAATAGAATTAGTATATAATCTACCAATCCCACTTCTAGTTTGCAGAAACAAAAAATGAAAGCAGGATCTCAAAAGGTATTATCACAACTATCCTCACTGCAACAATATTCATTATACCCAAAAGTTAGAGGCAACTTAATATCCATTGACAAATGGATAAGGAAAATGTGATATATACATATCAAGAGTTTGTGTTCTGCTTTATTGAGAAAAGATACCTTGTCATACGCCACAGCATGGTTAAACCTTGAGGATGTGATGTTGAGTAATGCGATGTGAGCCATACCCTGTAATTTCATGCACATAAGGTGCCTAAAGCAGTCAGAATCGTACAGGCAGACAGCAAAATGGTGGCTGCAGGGGCTGGGGAGAGAAAAGTGTTTACAGTTCAGTAGGTTTGCAGTTTCAGTTTTCTGATGAATTTTTCACATAATTTTTTGAAAAGTATGTTGTATATATAATCAGGAGAAAGAAGTGAATTTATGACCTTATATTCATGTATGGAAATAGATGAAAGATTAA